CCCCCACGCACACACACACACACACACACACACACACACACACACGATGTTAAAGAGAAAACAAAAAAATCCTAAAACAACAATACAAAACTTCCTGCCTCCCCCCAAATACAGAGAGTAAACAAAGGAGGCCATGGATAAAAGAAGTTTTATTGGGGGAAACAATTGTTTAACCTGATTATGTACATAGAAAAGTACACATTGTTACTTATTTTGTGAGCCCCCATCTGGTTGCTGGGAATTGAACTTAGGACCTTCGGAAGAGCAGCCAGTGCTCTTAATTGTTACTTATTTTGTATTTAAAGCCATGACTATTTTAAAGATTTTAGTGCATGAGTGATTTCTAGTATGTTTGTACATGGTGAGCATGCCTGGTGCATTGGATCTCCTGGAACTGGAGTTGTAAAATGTTCTGAGTAGCTATGCAGGTGCCGAGAGCCAAACCCAGGTCCTCCTCAAAAGCAGCCAGTGCTCTCAACCCCTGAGCCATCTCTCCAGTCTAAAGCCATTTAGCGACCATGGTGGCCTTAAGCAGCCAATCTCCACCGTGTGTTGTATTGGCTGCTTTTTTCATTGCTGCGATAAAATGACTAAAGGAAGGACAACGGGTTTTAGTACAGCCCATTGTGGTGAGGAAGGTATGGTGGCAGGGGTGTGAGGCAGCTGGTCACGTGGCATCCACAGTCAGGAATCAGAGAGAGATGGATGCTGGTACTGGGCTCACTTCCTCCTTTGTACTCAGTCTGAGACCTCAGCCATGGGATGATGGTGCTGCCCACATTCAGGGTGGGACTTCCAACCTCAGTTAAACTTTTCTGGAAACAGCCAGTGGTGGGCTCCATGGTGTCTGTAAATCCACTCAAGTAGTCTGTGAGGATTAGATGTCAGAGGTTCTGTGTCCGGCCCTCCTGTATTTCCTTTGGAGATGGTTTCATGGAGTCCCAGCGGGCCTCACACCCTACTTAGCTAAGGATACCCTTGAACACCTGATCCTCCTGCCTCCACCTCCTGAGTGCTGGAGTTAAAGTGTACACATCATGTCCAGTTTAAGTGGGCTGGGATTGGAACCCAGGGCTTCACGTGTGACAGACAAGCACTCCACTAACAGTTACAGCCTCAGATTAAAGACAAGGTATCCGTCTGTAGCTCAGACTAACCTCCTCCTGCTTCAGCCTCCCAAGGGTTGACAAGTGAGTGCCACTACACCTGGCACTTGGATGTGTTTTATGCTTAAGGTCACATCTCATGACCAGTCTTTTGAGTGGTAGGGACTGTTACTTCCCCCATTTCATAGACGAGGGAACTGAGGCAGAGATATGTAGGTGGTTATAGCTGGAATTAAACTCGGGCACATATTGTTCATTAATAAAGATTTACTTGTTTATTTATTGTTTTTTTAAAGATTTTATTTATTTATTATGTATACAACATTCTGCTTCCATGTATATCTGCACACCAGAAGAGGGCACCATATCTCATAATGGATGGCTGTGAGCCACCGTGTGGTTGCTGGGAATTGAACTCAGGACCTCTGGAAGAGCAGTCAGTGCTCTTAACCTCTGAGCCATCTCTCCAGCCCTTTACTGGTTTTTTTGAGACAGGCTTTCTCTGTGTAACAGTCCTGGCTGTTCTAGAACTTACTTTGTAGACCAGACTGACCTTGAACTCTGCCTTTCTCTGCCTCCTGAGTGCTGGGATCAAAGGCGTGCACTCCAACCCTACCCCACCCCCACTAAGAATTTATTTTTACTTATGTGTGTCTTTTTGTGAATGCATGCCACCAGAATGCTAGTGCCCGTGGAGGCCAGGAAAGGGTGTCAGGTTCCCTGGACCTGGAGCTACAGGTATGTGCTGGGAACTGAACTCAGGCCCTCTGGGAAACAGCAAGCTCTCTTACACATGAATGAATGATTGAACAAATGAATGACTGGGGGCATGATTCCAGAGAGCTAGATGGCAAAAGCCCGACAAGAGCTTTCCCCTTAGGGCTTCATGCTCTGGCCTAGACTTTAGGCCTGTCTCCACTACCCTCAGCCACTTGGCTTCCCCCTAGACCAGAGGCCAGGCTGGCCATTTCCTTAAGCAGGAAATCCCCAAGTCTAGGCTGAGAAGACATCATGAAGTTGCTTGCTGCTGGGGATGAAGACAGGGAGGTGACCTCAGGGACCTTCCACCAGAAGGAATGTGGGACTTCCCCAGATGGAAACAAACCTGCCTTTCACTGTTAGTTGTTGTTTAACCCAAACCCATCCTGCTGCTGCTTTTTTATTATTTATTTGGTTTTTCGAGCCTGGGTTTCTCTGAATGTCCTGGAACTTGCTCTGTAGACCAGGCTGGCCTGGAACTCACAGAGGTCCACCTGCCTCAGCCTCCCGAGTGCTGGGACAAAAGGTGTGTGCCAACACCACCAGCTTCCTGCTGCTTCTTGCTGAGTGACCATTGACCATAATTTTTCCCAGGACCCTGGGGAAGGTGGACAGGGTTTCACGGTTGGGCCTCTGGCTCTGCGGGGCAAGGCTGTGCGTATAAGCAGGCTCACGGAACTAATGTCTTCTAGTTCTTTGCCTACTTGGAGACTCTTAGCAACATGGAGGGAGAAATGGGTTCTGCTGGTGCAGGAGCATGAGACCTCAGCAGGACACCCCTCATCTCCAACACTGGGGACAACCTTCTTACCTGGCCCCCTCCAGGGTTCCGTTCTCAGGGCTCCAATAGACCCAGGTTATGGGCACTGTGCCTTGTGGCTCCATTCACAGAACTACCTGGAGCTCAGACTCGGCTTTCTGGTATGTCCCTTGGCAATTTTACTCAAGCTCCCTGAGCCAGTTTCCTCCTCTATAAAATGGCTTGGCCATTGCCCACTTTGTGGACTGCTGTGAGTTGCAAATAAGGTCAAGGGTGAAGCCTGGCAATTGCCAGTCATTAGCAAGCACGAACCATGTTAGAGTTGGCCGGAATTGGGGGAAGTGGTGGAGAGTTAGTGCTCAGCTCAGGAGTCAGGGTGGTTATTATTATTTCGAGATAGGGTTTCTGTGTATCCATGGCTACCCTCAAACTCAGAGATCTGTGTGGTAGACTCCCACACACATGGGTCCTAGGCACTGAACTCAAGATAGTTAGCCCGGGGTGTGGGAGGGTGTATTTTGAGACAGGGTTTCTCTGTGTAACAGCCCTGGCTGTCCTAGAACTCACTCCATAGACCAGGGTGTCCTGGAACTCAGATCTGCCTGCATCTGTCTCTCAGAGTGCAGAGATTAAAGGCCTGAGTTGTAAACTAGCCAAGCAGTTACTAATGGGTTCTACCTATACTGTGTACCCTGGGTGAAGTCTGATTCCCTGGGTCTTATCTTCCTTGACATTACATATAAAATGGAGCTAATAGACAGTTCTGTGACTGGATTTCATGCATCCCAGGCTGGCCCGAGGATGATTCCCCTGCATGTACCTCAGGGATAGCCTAGTTTATGGGTGAATCTGGGGTTTTGTGCAGGCGAGGCAGGCACTTCACCAACAGAGTCACGTCCCACCCTCCACTGTTTGTAAAAGTGAGTGTATTGGGCCACCCTGCTGCTTCCCTGTCATCCCATGAGCTTATGACAAGATCTGTTCTTTCCCCGATGGTCACCAGAAGGGCGGGTCATGTGCTCCAGGATGGTAACACTTTGAAAGACAAGGTCTATGTCATGCCTGGTTTATGTGAGGATGAACCTCACAGCTTTGTGTATGCTCACCAAGTATCCCACCAACTGAGCCACATCCCAGTCAACGGGCTTTTTCTTTTTATGTGTATTTCACGTGGGTGGAAGCACACATATTCAATATCATGAAGGTCAGAGGAAAACTTGTGGGGCTTGGTTCTCTCCTTCACCACATGGGTCCTAGCCACTGAACTCAGAGAGTTAGCCCTGGGTGGGCGTGTATTTTGAGACAGGGTTTCTCTGTGTAACAGCCCTGGCTGCCCTAGAACTCACTCCGTAGATGAGGCTGTCCTGGAACTCAGATCTGCCTGCATCTACCTCTCAGAGTGCTGGGATTAAAGGCCTAAACCACCACTGCTCTGAGTTGTAAACTAGCCAAGTAGAGCATGTGTGTTGGCCCATTTGGCATCCTGGTCCCAGGTTGGAAGTGCTTGCTTGTCAAGTGAAAAGGGCCGGAGAGATGGCTCCATGGTTAAGAGCACTGACTGCTTTTCTACAGGACCTGGGTTCAAGTCCCAGAATACTCTAGTTGCACAGGATTTAAATGTCCTCTTCTGGCTTTGGTGGGCACAGTACAACACCCATACACATTACATGAACGAGTGAACGATCAAACTGAGAAGCTATGGCCAGGTCTGTAGAGTGAGTTCTCATGTTGGTTGAGGCTCTGTGCCCCAGACCTAAGTCTGCTCCCCAAGTCCCTTTGTCTCCAGGAGCAAGCTCACCCAAGGCAGTCTGCTTTCTCAGCTCTTCCTAGCCAAGAAAATGCTGGTAGTCACCTGCAGAGGTGAGCCCCAGGACCGGAGGGAGAGAACATGCCCTGCAGGATAGAGTGGACTGCAGTATGGGTCAGGAGTGGGGCATATATTGATCTCACACTGCAGACAAGGGCCCACTAGACTTTCTCCAAAGGACAGAAGCCACTCCTCAATAGGATGCATCAAGTCACCAAGGAACAAAATCCCAACACACTGCAGCCCGAGTTTTGCTCCTGCCTCCCAGAGGGCTGGAATCACAGGCCTCTCCACATAGCTCAAAGAATCTTATTAGTTTATTTTTTATTTTATCTGCTTTGGTGTTTTGCCCTGGGCGTTGGGTTCCCTGAGACTGGAATTACAGTTGTGAGCTGTCATGTGGGTGCTGGGAATTGTACTCTTAACTGCTAAGCCATCTCCCCAGCCCCTTATCACTGGTCTTTTGAGAGGGTCTCCTGCAGCCGACTTGCCCTGAATTCCTGATTCTTCTGCCATGGTCTTCAGCCAGGCTTGAGCCGCTATACCTCATTTTGAAACTTTGAATCCCTGCTGAATTTTTATTTTGTTGTTTTGGAGGCACAGATGGGCCTTGGCCTCCTGCCTACAATTTTGAGTTCGGCATCAAATGGCCTGCTCTACCACTGGTGGCTGTACCTGCTGGCCTCCATCAAGCCCTTTAAATGAAGAAATTATTTCTAACAGGCAGGGCACGTCAGTAATCTTCAGGGAGCTGCCTGGACATGGTGCACAAGTTAAACTAAAATACAAGGCTTGATTTCCTTCCTTCTGTGGCAGGAAATACCTTACAAATCAGGCATTGTGTCAGCTGAGCTTCCCGCACTTGGTCTTCCTCAAAACCAGACCACAGGACACAAGTGTAGGTGGGGCAGGTAAGGGGCCACCACTCACATGGCTGGACAGCAGGAGAGCTGGGCAACTGGAGCATCCCTGTATTGGTTTCCTGAGCTCTAACAGGACACTGTATCCCTTTATATTTAAATGAGACCAAGTCTAACCCAGACTGGCCTTGCAGTTATTATGTGGCAGGAAAGACCTGGAGCTCCTGTCCCCGCTGAACCTGGTTTATGTAGTACTGGAATAGAACTCAGGCCTCCTTGCATCTATACGGGCACTCTACTAACCGCCTGTACCCTCAGTCATGAGAACTGGTGACCAGGACCCTCCTGGGTCCCTAGCACAGGCCTCTGTTATGCCACCTACTTGTAAACAAGCAGTGTCTGGCCCAGGGAGAGAGAGCGAGTTGTTATTTTGTTGTGTGCTATGACATGGGTAATGTCTCCAAAGGCCCATACAATGAGAGGATGACCTCAGCCTTGGTGCACTGGAAGGTGGCAGAATCTGAGAGGAGGGGTCTGGTGGGAAGAAGGTGGGTGCTAAAGGGGCGTGCCCCTGAAAGAAATATCAGCACCAGCCCCCACTCCCATTTCTCTCCCACTGCTTCTTGGCTGCCCCAGGTAAGCTGCACCTTTTTTTATCTCTCTCCCCCA